TTCCCTTCCCCTGCAGGGCTCAGCACGGCCAGCGGCGTCTCGTCCCCGTCCGAGCTCTCCGAGGGTTCGGTCTCCGTCACCTCGGCCTACTCCAGCGGGTCGGCGCTGCGGGAGACCCCTGCCTACAGCCCAGAGGCCGAGGGGGCCATGGAGGTCTGCCGGGTCCCCCTGCCCCCCGGGAGCGTGGCCGGCTGGTACCTGCGGGAGAGCGCCAGCCCCCCAGGCCTGCCTCAGGCCCCCTCCTTCTTGATGGACTACGATGAGGTGGGGGCTGCAGGAGGGCAGGCGGGAGGCCCCGATGACGCGGCCCTGGCGCCGGAGCTGCTGAGCTATGGGGAGAACACGGAAAACGAGGACTACCTGCCCACGACAGACGTCCTGCAGGTGAGCGGGGGGGGGGGGGCGAGCCCCCCCCCACCAGGGTTCCCACCCCCCCAAGTCTTTTCTAGAAACCGTGGGGGGGGGCAGACCCCCACTCACCAGCCCTGAGAGCCAGCGCCCTGTAGTGCTTAAGAGTGCTGGGCTGGAAACCGCAAGATCCGGGTTCAAATCCCTACTCTGCCCTGGAAGCTCGCTGGGCGACCTTGGGCCAGGCACGCCCTCTCCACCTCACCTGCACCTCACGGGGCTGCTGTGAGGATACAAGGGAGGAGAGGAGGTGGAGGAGAAGGAGAGAGAGAAGAGATTGGATTTATGCCCCATGGCCCTTCACTCAGAGCGGCTCACGAACTCCTTTCCCTCCCCCTCCCCACAACAGACACCCTGTGAGGTGGGTGGGGCTGAGAGAGATCTTTCCCTCGCACTGCTCCTGAGAGAACAGCCCTGACAGAACTACGGCTTGCCCAGGGTCACACCAGCAGGTGCAAGTGGAGGAGTGGGGAATCGAACCCGGTTCTCCCAGATTAGAGTCCGCGCACTTCACCACCACACCAAACTGGAGGAGGAGGAGGGTCCCCATGGGGGAGAAAGGCGAGGCAGAATTGAAGTAAACAAATCAACAGACCTGGGATGTGCCGGCAGGGCCCCCCTCCCCCGGCCAAGAATCCCAGAGCCCTGGCCGCTGCCCCCTCCCTGCCCCGGATCCTGAGCCTGTCCCTGCCCACCAGGTGCCCCTTCACGCTCTCTTCGCCGTGCCTTCCGCTTCCTGCTCTCTTCCGAGGATCCAGAGGAGTCCTGGCTCCCGGGGGGGGGGCGGCAGTGTCCTGATGCCCCCCTCTCTGTCTCCCCCCCACACAGGTGGACATGATCACACTGGCCAAACAGATCATCGAGGCGACGCCCGAGCGCATCAAGCAAGAGGACTTCAGCGCGGCCGAGGCCCCGCTCCGAGAGCGGCCGGGCAACCTGGGCCTGAACGAGACCATGTCCTGGCTGGCCGGCTACCTGGAGAACGTGGACCAGCTGCCCCCCTTCTCCCAGCGCAGGTCCAGGCCGCCCGCCCCGCCCCTCCCCTCCCCCCGGGGGGGCCGCAGACCCCGGAGCAGCCGCTCACCCCCGGCCTTCTTTTCCAGGCCCCTGGCCGCCTCCCCCGCCGGCCACGCCTGCCTCGGCCCCCTGCCCTCCCCGCTGGGGGAGCTCTCCTTCGAGCGGCTGCCCCCGCCCCCCACGGCCGCCAGCTGGGCCGAGTTCCTCAACGCCTCCGCCAACGGGAAGATGGAGAGCGAGTTCGCCTTGCTGACGCTCTCCGACCACGAGCAGCGGGAGCTCTACGAGGCCGCCAAAATCATCCAGACCGCCTTCCGCAAGTACAAGGTGGGGCTTCCCTGAGGGGGGGGAGGGCCCCCGCAGCCAGATGGGCCGGGGGGCTTCTTCGGTCTGCCTGGATTCGTGGCTCGGACAGAACCCCACAGACCTCCGCTGCAGCCTGTGTCTAGGCCTGTGTGAGCCGGTGGGCACCTCTGGAATTCTGACACGGGGGGGGTGGAGGGCCAGCCCCAAAATGGCTGCCACGGGAGGCGGAGGCCACCACACCCGCAGGGAGCGTGAGGAGTGATTATTAAACATACACTGGGAGAGAGGGGTGTGGGAGAGGATAAGATCAGGGGTCTGGAGACTGAGGAAAGGCTGAGGGCCCACTTGGGAATGTTCAGTTTGGAGAAGAGGAGATTGGGTGGGGGGGGGGACACACGATGGTTCTCTGTAAATATCTGGAAGGCCGTCCTTGGGAGGAGGAGGGCAAGGGGCTGTTCCAGTCGGCAGCAGAGGAGAGGACCCGAAGCAAGGGGTTTGGATTACATGCAGGAAGGGAATCGGCTGGATATCTGGAAAGACTTTTTCACGGTCAGAGTGGTTCAGAGGTGGGATCAGCTGCCCAGGGAGGTGCTGAGCTCCCCTTCACTGACAGCTTCCAAGAAGAGGCTGGAGGAATATTTGTCAGGGATGCTTGAGGCGGGTCCTGCACTGGGCGCAGGGGGTTGGACTCGATGGCCTCTAATGCCCCTTCCCACTCTCTGTGATTCCGTGGTTCATTCAACACTGGGGTGGCCGCCACCCCCCAAACGATGTTCTTGTAATCTGCACAGCCAGTCCGGGGTGCTCCCGGGCAGGACCCTCGCCTGGCCCCGCCCACTTCCTGAAAACACTTGACGTGCACCAGGGAAGATGTGAGGAGGCGACATGGGGCCCGGGGGCACCTGCATTGGGGGGCCCTTGTGGAGCGGAGATGCCGGGAGGTTCGGCAAGGGAGGAGGAATCCAGAGCATCGTTTTCTGCGCTTGGTTCTCTTTTTCTCTGGCGGGCCATAGGACACTGCCGGGTCCCTGTGGATCTGGACAGTGGCTGCAGTTGGGGCAGGAAGGGTGGGCCGTCCCGAACGCATCAACCACAGGGGGTGCTGGAGTGGGCGGGAGGGGCACTGCCTTGCCAGGACCGTTGTCTTCATGCACCTGACTTCACTGGGGGCCAGTTTGGTGTAGTGGTTAAGTGCACAGACTCTAGTCTGGGAGAACGGGGTTTGATTCCCCGCTCCTCCACTTGCAGCTGCTGGATGACCTTGGGCAAGCCACAGA